TGCCGATGCTGATGCCGATGCCGATGCCGATGCCGATGCCGATGCCAATGATGATGACGATGACGATGCTGATGATGATGCTGTTCATGATCATGCTGCTGATGATGATGATGATGATGGCGATGATGATGACGATGATGACGATGACGATGTCAATGACGATGACGATGACGATGCCGCTGATGATGCTGAGGATGATGGTGGTGATGATGATGCTGAGGATGAGGATGATAATGCGAATGGTGAGGATGATGCGAGTGAGGATTCGGATGAGGATGATAATGATAATGGCGATGAGGATGGTGGTGGTGATGGTGGTGATGATGATCACGATGACGATGACGATGATGATGACGATGATGATGACGATGATGATGATGCTGATGTCGATGATGCTTATGATGATGATGATGTTGATGATGATGTTGATGATGATGATCATCATCATCATGACGATGAAGAGGCGGAGACGACGACGATGATGATGATGCTGATGATGACGATGACGATGACGATGCTGCTGCTGATGATGATGTCGAAGCTGCTGCTGCAGATGATGATGCTGCTGATGATGATGATGAGGATAAGGATGATGCTGGTGCTGACGCTGATGCTGATGAGGATGAGGATGGTGAGGATGAGGATGAGGATGAGGATGATTGTGAGGACGACCATGATGATGCTGATGATGATGATGATGGTGATGATGATGATGATGATGATGATGATGGGTTGATGGTGATGATGATGATGGTGGTGGTGGTGGTGATGCTGATGATGGTGATGATGGTGATGATGGTGATGGTGACGATGGTGGTGATGACGCCGAGAATGATGATGATGATGATGATGATGATGTTGGTGATTGTGATGATGATGATGAGGATGCTAAGCAGGATGACGAGGATGATGGTGATAATAAGGATGAAGAGGATGAGTATGATGTTGATTAGAGTGATAAGGATGATGAGGAGGAGGCTGAGACGGACGAGGATGAGGATGAGCATGAGGATGATGGTCATTATGATGACGATGATGCTGATGCTGATGATGATGATGATGATGCTGCTGATGATGATGATGATGATGTGATGATGGTGAGGATGAGGATGATGATGATGCTGGTTATGATGATGCTGCTGAGGATGAGGATGCTGATTATGAGAACGGTGATGATCATTGTCAGGGTCATGGTGATGAGTATGATGATGATGATGTTGATGATGGTGATGGTGATGGTGGTTGTGGTGATGGTGATGGCCATGGTGATGGTGATGACAATGACGACGACGATGACAACGACGACGACGATGATGATCATGATGATCATGTTGACGATGATGATGATGATGATGATGATGATGATGATGATGATGATGATGATGATGATGATGATGATGATACTCATGGTGATCATGCTGATCATGATGATGGTGGTGGTGATGATGATGTTGATTGTGGTGGTGGTGGTGGTGAACATGATGATGGTGATAGAGATGGTGATGCTGAGCGCTGTCGATGCTGCTGCTGGTTGCGATGATGATGATGATGATGATGCTGCTGATGCTGATGCTGATGCTGATGATGATGATGATGATGATGATGATGATGATGACGAAAACCACCACCACCACCTCAACGGCGACGTCGATGGCGACGAGGGCCTGGACGAGGACGACGAGGATGAGCAGGAGGAAGAGGAGGAAGAGGAAGGCCTTCACATGTGACACCTCTCGTCTTCACTATTTGAGGAGCTTTACCTTGAACTCGCCTGGGGTTGTCTTGGGGCTGTCTTGGCCTTCTTGGGGGTCCCTTGAGGCCCTCTTTGGCAGTCCTGTGGCCCTCTTACGCCGTCTTGGAGCTCTCTTCGGCTGTCTTAGGGCCCTCTTGGCCGGATAGTGGGTGGGGGCCGTCGTGGGGCCGTTTTGGCGCCGTCTTGGGCAGTCGAAGGACCGTCTAAGGCCGTCTTGGGTTCCACGGGAGGTCCTCGTGGACAGTCTTGGGGCTATCATGGATGTCTTTGGGCTCTCGTTGGGCCTTCTTGGATTATCTTTGGACCCTCGTGAGGGCCTCTTGGGCCGTCTTGGGGCCATCTTGTTTGCTTCTTGGGCCGTCTTGAGCTGACGGAAGCCCGAAAGGGTGAGAATGCAAACTTCTTTCAAACACCGTACCGTAGAGGTCATCCATGATTTTAGCTTCTCCGTATCCCTCTTGTGGCTTTTTTCCTCTCTTGGTGGCATCTTGGGCCGTCTCGAGGCCATACAGTCAACGCGTCTAGGAAGGACGCGCGCCTTCATCTAGGGTACCCTTGTGTCCTTGTCTCTGCGGCCCGTCCGTTGCCGTTTTCACTGGTCGCCAGTTGCCCAAAAAATCCCAACTTCGGCCTCCAAGGGTCTTGCGTCCTTACCAGCAGTCCTTAATTCACGTTTTGATTGTATTGGTCCGCCTTGGGGCCAGCTTGGCCCGTCTTCGAGCCTCCTTGGGCCATGTTGGTTGCCTCGGTTGCCTGACAGGGCCGTCTTGGAAGCTCGGAACGCGGGCACATGGTTTTTTCACGAGGGATCGTGGCCTCGGGAGCGCAGATCCATTTTTGTTGTCGGATGCACGCGACACGCTGGTGCGAGACGGGAGAGCCCCGCATTAGAATACGACAACCTTACCGGGCAGCACCCGACATGACGGAACGAGCGTTAGCGAGAGAAGTTCTGTGGGGTCAATGCACATGGTTCAGGAGCGAAAGAAAAACGTACACGTATATGAATCCGCGCTGGTTTCGAGAGTTCGCATTGCGCGAATGTTCGTATCACACGGCCAGTCTCGCGGGTCAAGGGGCCGTTTTCATGTACATAGCTGGGCGCGTACGTCCTTTGTGGTATGGACGCGCGCCTTTTCTAGGGTGTCTTGCGTCCTAACAATGATGATGACATATAGTGATAGAAATAGCTTGCATCGTTGTATAATCCTTGCTATCATAATGGGTGATATAATGCATGAGCCACCCGTCCTTATTTTACTGTTTCGCTGTGCGCATAGGGCTTTAGCACCCATAGGGGGGGGCCCAGGGGGCGGCGTGGCCAGGCGCGATTTCTAACACGCCCTCCGGGGGTCGTGTCGGTGGCTTGCTCGCTCCAAGACGGCCAAAGCGGCCTCCAATGACAGTCAAAGATGCCCCCAAGAAGGGCCTCAAAGAGAGCCAAGAGGACCCGAAGACAGTCCAAGAGCCCTCCCAGAGAGCTCCTGATGGCCGCGCCCCGGCCCAAGAGGTCCCCAAGACGCCCCAAGAGGCCCCCAAGAGGACTCCCAGAAGGCCTGGAGGAGGTAACCAATACACGTTTCCTTTGTTTTTGATGGGTTTGTGGGTTTCCCCCTTTTCGGGCCAAGAACGATCAAAGACGGCCCTGAGCGCCTCCGAGATAGCACCAAAGACGTCCCAAGAGGTTTTCGAAACGGCCCAGGAGGGTCTGAAGATCGCCCAAGAGAGCCCCAAACGGCCCAAGGAGGGCCCCACAGAGCCCCAAGAGGCTCCCAGAAGAGTCCCAAGGGGGCCACAGAAGGGCCCCAAGAGCGCCCCAAGCCAGCCCAAGCCCCCACAGACAGTCCAAGAAGGCCCCGGGAAGGCCCAAGAGGGCCCCGAAACGGCCCAACAGACCTTCAAGAGGCTCCCAAGAGCGAACAGTGACGCACAACATTTTGAACGCCGAGGCTCCCAAGAACGAACAGTGACGTAGAAGGCTCTGAGCACGAAGGCCCCCACGAGCTCACACAAACGTGCGTAAAAAGTTTGAACGCTAAGGCTCCCAAGAGCGAACAGTGACGTACAAATATTTGAATGCCAAGGCCCCCAATAACAAACGGTGACGTAAAACAAATTGAACGCCGGGGCTCCTAAGAACCAACGGTGACGGTAAACGCTCTGAGCACCAAGGCTCCCCAGAGCTCCCAGTTACGTGACAAGTTTTGATCAGCAGGGCTCCCAAGAACTCACAGTGACGTGAAAGACTCTGAACACCAGAACCAAAACACTCAGTACGAACGATGACGTGAAGAGCTCTGAACGCAAAGGCTCCCAAGAGCGAACAGTGACTTGGAACGCTCTTCACGCCAAGGCTCCCTAGAGCGAACGGTGCCATGAGCCCTCCCGGGCAAGAATTGGCCCAGCGACGGACAATGCTGACGCCCAGGCTCGCGAGCCCAGACGGCCCAGTGACGGACACAGCTTTCATGCCAAGGTTCCCAAGAGATCCAGCTGACAGACCACCCTTTTGAAGACGAGACGAGAACGTAAGAATTTATTGACGCTAAGGCTCCCCAGAGCTCCCGGTGACGTGAAGAGCTATGAGCGATGAGCGCCAAGGCTCACAATAACGAAAGGTTTCGCAAAAAGCTCTTAACACCAGGGCTCCCAAGAGCGAACGGTGACGAGGAAATCTCAAGGCTCCCCAGGGCTGAAAGTGACGCCAGAATCCTCCCAAAGCCAGGGCTCCCAAGAAGAGCTCCCAGTGAAATACAAATCGCTCAACGCTAAAGCTCCCAAGAGCGGACGAAGCCATCATGACCATTTTCGGGGAGGCTCCATGGAACCGTTCTTTCCGTTCCCCTACCGGCCCAGGTTCTAACATGCTCGCATCGTGCAGGCACAGTGGTGTGTCAAACAATCCTCCTGAGATAGTGGCGAGTAGCGCCTGTATGCTGCGACAGCTGTTTGTTGCTGAGCGCTCCCCCTGTCAGGGCACTCCGTTCATCGTTTACACGTAAGAGTGACCCTTCGCTGGAGTGACCTGTGGTGCTGGCCCATTGGGGTCCCCTGACCACCGAACGCGATGCGCTAGCGTCTTGCGCGCTTCTGTTTGGTCCCCCCCCGCGGCCCCCAAAGAGCCGCGCACCAAAGGTCATTCTTACCCAGGGTCACTCTTGCGTGTAGCCGAGTTCAGTTCCTCCCCCCCTCTCCTTCGGCTTCTCTCCCTAGCTTCCTGACTTCATTCTCGTCGCTGCTCCTGCAGGCCATCCTCATCGGGGACCAGTGCCAGCTGCCCCCCACGGTGCTCTCCGACCTCGCCGAGAACGAGAACCTCGGGGAGTCGATGTTCACACGCCCCTCCGCCAGTGGGAGCGTCGCGGGGGGATCGCCCGAGGCCCTAGTGCACATGTCCGTCCACCTCCTGGAAGCTCGATGCCCCATGAGGCAATGGAAATGGCCGGTTTCGAGTGCCAGGTGGAGGGCCCAAAACATCCATATCCACCTGCCTTTCTGTCGAGGGAGGAAAACCCAACCCAACCCTGACAATTGGCGTTTACTAATCGGCCCTGGGCGTTTACTCAACAGCCTTGCCATGTTCGATTCCTTTCCTGGGTGCGTTTACTAAACGGCTTCGCTTGTCGGGGTGGTTATTACGAGGGTGTTTTGTTCTGCTCTACCGTGGGTCTTGGGAGCACGGTTCCCCGGACGGCGGATCTGTGGAGATTGCAGCCTCGAGGATTCTAGTGGTGCGCAAAAGACACGGGCAGGAGAGGTGGGCGGCCCTCGAAGGAGGCCACCCGCTTCCTCGAAGGCGTGGGGCGTGTGGTTTTCAAGGGGGGCGATCCCCTCTGAGCCCCCTGCCCTGCGGTCGAGATCGATAGTAAGGATTGGCAACCTTCCCAAGGGTACCCTTGCATCCTTGTCTCCTCGGTCCATCCTTAACCCCTTTCGATGGCCAGCCCCGCTCGAGAAGTTTCGACATGGGCATCCACGGGGCTTGCATCCTTATCGCGCATCCTTACTTCCGCCGTAAAAGTTTGGCTGGAGAGAGTGGGCCTCATTAGGAGGCACAGGCAAGAGGGATAAGGGCTTCTATGTCTTAAATTCATGTTGTTTATTTAGGGTTAGCACATCTTCTCCAAAATTAGTTGCCAGGCCTGTCGTGTGAGACATCCTAAGACAAATTGTTGACAGTCTGGTTGGTTGGTTGGCGGGTTGGTTGACTGGTTGGTTGGCCAGCTGGTTGGCCAGTCGGTTGGTTGGTTGGTTGGTTGGTTGGTTGGTTGTGTGGTTAGTTATTTGGTTAATTGGCCAGTGGATTTGTTGGTTGGCCAGTTGGTTGCTTGGTTGATTGATTATTTGGTTGGTTGGTTAGCTGGTCGATCGGTCTGTCGGTCAGTCGGTGGATCGATTGGTCGGGGCATTCAACCTAACCCTCTCGCCTAAACCTTTATCGGGCAGTAATAACTTGTTATTGCAAGTCATAAGTCGACGCCCCCAGGCGGGAGTGTCCCGCCGTCGGCGCACCGCGCGATGGCGGGCGCCCGCATGTCCACCCGCCACGCGCCGCCGCTACGTCGGGCGGGCCAGGCCCCGCGCGGGCATGCTGGCGTGCCGCGCGGCCGTGCGTCGGGGTCCTTCCTCCCTCCGCTCCTCCGTGCACGGTCGTGATGTCTCCTCTTTGCCGCCTGGCCGCGGGGCGGGATATCAAGTACCCTGTCATGTCTGCAGCGCCCCACCTGCCTAGTGTGCACTCTTAAGGTGGGGCGGCTGGCCGGGGTGTGGTCCTCTGTCTGCCAGTGTGCGGCTCTGGACCAACCCTGGGGGCGACGCGTGGGGCGTCCGTTCGCCAGAGTGCGTCGGACGCGACCGCGGTCGCGCTTCTTTTCTGGCCCAGTGTGGCCCCTCGTGGGTGTCGTTGTCTAGGGCTTTTCCCTGCGGGTCCTGTGTCCCTTGGTTCACCTCGGGCCAACACCGCTGGTCCTTGGTGACCTACGCGTTGTTTCTCCACCCTGGCGGAGTCTGTTTCACGGCCCTGAGGGGTCACGGCGTTGCTATCAAGCCCAGAGTGGCCTCTTGCGTCGGCCCAGTGTGACCAACGTACCCATAGGGTTCCCCCTCGCGGGTCCAGAGCGACCCTCGTCTGGCGGCCCAGAGTGGCCGTTCAGTAGCAGGGCAGCCGATGCCAGCCCGCATGTCTGGCGGCCCTAGAGCGGCCAATCTTCGATAGGGCGGCCGTTGCGGCTTGCCTGACTGCCAGCGGACCCGCGCGTCTCGCTTGGAGGCCCATAGTGGCCAATCGTTACAAACGTTTCTTTCGCATTCCCAGTGAACAGTCGAGCGCGAGACTCGCAGCGCGCCAGACTCGCAGCGCGAAGGCAGCGAACTCCCGCCGTCGGTCGACGGTTTTTGCTTTGGCTGCCGCAGGTTCGCAGCGGCTCCGAACGTCGGGTGAAGTCAGCGGCTTCTGCTTGCTTGCGATGGCGGAGCAGGCTGCGCAGGCGGCGCTCGCGCCGTTCGAAGCGAAAACAGAAAGGGGCTCCTTGGTGCGCACCGCATCCCGCGCGCGGGTCGCGTACGCAGACACAGCGTTGTCGCAGGCGCGCGAGCGGCTTCGCTACCTGCTGGTTAAGGGGGCGGGCCCCAGGCTGCAGGGGCGAGCGCCAAGGGGCCCGCCCCTAGCAATGCCAGCACCACCTGCCAACGAGAGCTGCTGGTCGCCAGTCCGACACGGAGCAGTCGGCCCTCGGTTAGTAAGGCTGGAGCAGGTGTGGGCTGAACTGCGTTTCGCCTTGGCCCAATGCGCACCGCGTTTGCCGCGCGACGTCTGCCATATCATATTGGGCTACGCTAAGCCCCAGATCGTCTCTGCGCCCGTGATACGCTGCCGTCTAATGGACAATCCAGACAGCGGCGATGAAGCGCACTTCCGCCGGGCAAAGCTGCGAGTGCGCCCGCCAGCGCGGGTCGCGGGCGCCTGGGGCGGCGCACGCGACCACAACGCTTTTAACAAACGCGCGCGCTCGTGCCGCGCGCGTCGCCCCAGTGTGGATTTGCGCGCCCCCCCCCCGCAACTGGGGGCGGGCTACTAAGTGCGCCGTGTAGCGACGTCGTCTGACGACGAGGTGCCGTCAACGCAGCCCGCCTCATGTCGCGAGACGTGTCACATTGGCCCTTTTGTGTGTTCTTACTGTCGCGTGCGCGGGCGGCGGGAGCATCCAGCCCCTCAGCGCGATCGCAGCAGATCGTCGCCACGGAGGCGCACATCTGCCGCAGGGCCCTCAGGCAGCCCATCAATGGAGCTGACGGCCACGGTGCCGCTTGGGCCGTGCGCACGAAGCGCGAGGATCGACCAGCTGGCCAGCGCCTGCCCGCTCGGTAAGACGCGTGACCCGCGCTCACGGCCATAAGCGGACCAGGTTTCCGCAGGCATCTCGCGTTGCGTTCCCGGCGCCGCCGTTCCTCCCCCGCGTTCGGGGTGCGCGCGTTCGTTTTGCGTCTGCGAAGCGGCGGACCAGGTATCTGCAGGCACCTCGCTCGTGTTGCTACCGGCGTCGCCGTCTTTCTGTGCGCGTGTTGAGTGCGCTGCGTTGCAGTCGGCCCGCCGCGTGATCCCCGCGTGTGCGAGCAGTGCGACGCTGGTGTTTTCTGGCTTCTTTGTTCGCGATGGCGGACGGACCGCTGCTGAGCTTTCTGCGCCAAGACCCCGTGTTCGGGGCAGAATGGTCGGACATCGAATACAAGGCTGCGATTGACTGGCTGCTGACGCCGGCACAGCTGGCGAACATTCGGCTAGAAGAGCTGTCAGGCTCGGAGGGCCTGCCAGCGGGCGTGAAAGGCGTGCTCCGCCGCGCGCTGGAGCGCGCCACAACTGCGGGTAAGCAGGTAGCGTACGCGAGCGCGCCCGGCGAGCCCCTCTGGTCTGCACGCTCGCATCGGGGCGGAGGCCAATGTGGAAATGGCCGCCCCCGTACACACGTAGACGTGGGCGCTGAGTTGGCGACGATTACGTTGAACGGCCTCAGCCAGACGATCTGGCCGAGGCGCGCCCTCACGTGAGCGCGCCAGCGGCGGTGACAGCGGTCGCTGCCTTGCACAGGAGCGAGAAATGTGATTGGATGGCTGCCGAGGTCGTACGCGCGAGAAAGAGGGGCCGCGCGAATCCTTTCGTTTACTCTGATTTGCGCGGCTTTCCCCCGACCTGGGCCGCGAGCGCCCGCGGGGTCGACGACGCAGACGCCAACGGAGTGACGGCTGAGTGCGGCAGTAAAGGTCAGCGCGCGTTGTCGTGGGCCGAGTTTCACCTCGCCCACGACGCATGGGCGATTGCGGCTGCTGCCACTAAGCAGCTATCTTACGCACGCTGCTTGGAGCATAAGCGATTGGCGCTCCAGGTCCGCGACGTGCCAGCGCGCACACGTAGCGGCGCACGCACCCGTTGCCTTTCGCGAGGTGGCCTTGGAAGCTCCGCTCGCGGGCCGCAAGGCGGGGCTTGGGCTCCTGTGCGACAAAATCGCCCGCAAGAGCTGGGCCGAGCGCTCGCGACAGAGCGGCGTCGAGAAGTTCAATATTGAGGAGGCCTCGAAAGGGCTCGACGCGTTGTCCCTGCGGGCTGCCGAGAACGAGTTCGACCGCGCAGCCAAGGTCGCCCGCGCGTGCCGGGGGCGCCGCGCGTCGCGCGTGACAGTTGCGCTTGCAGGCGCAGGGGCAGGCCGCCCAGGCCACGCCCGCGGGCAACGGCCGCGGCAGTGGCCGCGCCGCGCCGAACACGGGCGCGGCGGAGACGCGCTCTTCGCATTCCGGTGCGTCCTGGCACAGCGGCGGCTGGGGCCGATCTACGTGGAAGACGGGCGCGCGGGGCAGCTCGAAGAGGCCGGCGCCAGACGCGCCGCGCGCGCCGCCCCTGCCCGCGAAATGGGCCAAGAAGTAGGGGAGCGCTTGACGTCCCCGATTCGCGGCGCCCTCGCAATGTTTGCGCGGTCGCGCCGTTCGCTCCGCGGCCGCGCGCGCGGCAGGCGCTGCTGCAGATAACGCAGGCGGTGCCCGTGACCTGCGTGGCTTTCCTGCCCGGCGCAGCGCGCCAGCCTCGCGCTGAGGCATTCTGACGCATTCGCCTGCGGTTGCATTTCTATGAAGAGAGGGCCATTCGCGCGCGGCCCGTCCCAAGGCACGCAGCGTTCCTGCTCGCGCGCATGGCGCGGCGCGCGGCGTTGCACGCAGGTCTGGTCTCGCCTTATCCGCGGTGGGTGCACCCGTGGAAGGCGTACAAGCATCCCGCAGAGGCCAGGGCTTCTCGTGCGAGGCCCTGCTCGGCTTGGGGGTGCGCTACCAATGCTCTCGCGCCCTCGCCCTGCCCACGCGCATTGGTGGAGTGTGGCGGATGGCGTCGGTTGCCACCGCAAACGCGCGCATCGGCGGCGTCGCGCCTCTCGTGGAGTCAGCGGCGGCAGAGTTTTGTTGCAAGAGAGGACGCGCAGGGGCTCACGGTTGCGCAGTCTTCGCACTCTTGTATTATGGTGGTGCGGCCACAGCGGTCAAGCATCATACCGGCGCCGCCGCCGCCGCCGCCGAAACGACGTTGCACGGCGAAGGGCGCGCCGCCCGCACCGGCGCCGCCGGCGCGGG